ACCATCAGGATGAGAATCCCAATGGAATGCCTGGTCCTGTTTCTCTCCAGTGGCAGTGCAGTACAATGGTTAGGGGCATGGATTCAGCCAGACTATCTGGGCTTATTTACAATTCTGATTTGCTGCTTTGCCTGGTATTGTTTCCTAATGTCTTACCTCATTTTCAGAGAGGTTACAGTTTTGATCTGTTTTCTTGGTACTCTTTCTACGTCAGGGGGATATTATTCTGCTCCTCATTCTTTTTCTTGCAACTTTGTACGGGATTTGACCTTGATACTTTTCTGTTGCCTGTTTGTCAAGTTAATTTCCCTTAACTTTTCTAATATCAGAGCTCCCTCTTCTGTTGATTTCAGGGAGTGTTTGAAAATCCAGGTGCTACTTTTCTGCTTTCTGTTCTCCCCACTCTTACCTGGACCTTGGCTTTCCTTCCGCTCTACTGCCCATCCTGCTCAGCTGTGCTTCCATTCCCCAGAAGAGGGCCCCCCAAGAGCACCCCACCCCCACCCCGGGGCTAGGACTGCCTGGATCTTGGTTCTAACCCTTACTGGATGGGTGATCTCGGACAAGTCCCTTGCCCTCCCTATACCCGTTTCCTGGCCTGTGAACTGGGGATGGACAGGTCATCAACCCAACGTATGAGGACTGAGTTAATCATAAAGCACTTGGAACAGAGACTGGCTCTTAGCAGCACTATGTGTGTGGCTTACAGCTGAGGGCCAGCTTCCCTATCCAGTTGGGGGATGTGACCTAGCACCTGAGGCTCCCTACCCCATCTGGCATCTCGGCCTTAACCCTCACTTGTTTACGGATCAGGAAGGTGGCAGGTTTTTGTGTCACCCCAGCTGTGGGCCTAGAATAGCAAAGGAGCATCCGACAGCCCAGTGAAGCCTCTTCCTGGTTCTCTGCAGGGCGGAAGCCTGGCCAGGAAGGCAGATGGGGGAGAGGAAGGGCTAGGGCTGCAAGAGGAGGGTCTGTGTGGCCCCACAGGGAAGATTTAAACTCTAGAAGGCCACACGAGGCTGGGAAGCAGGCTCTGGGAACAGCCTCCAATGGCTCCTTTGGACGATCCCTCACCCCCTACAGCTGAGGCCTCTCGACCATCTGTCACCCCAGCTGGGCCCAGTCAGGGGGGCCGAGAGCTTCGCCCAGCTCACTGACTCAGCTGAGAGTCATCCCTAAAGCTAATCAGGCTAGGCTCCTGCCTTATTCCGAGGCCATGCCCTTGCCAACTACCCTTGTTTCAGTACCAGGACCCTGTCTCACCTCCCTGATCACCCACCTACCAAGCCCTAAAGCTGTGCCTTCCATGTAAGTTCACCTGCTAAGTTCACGCAAGAACAGGTTTTGCATTTTCAATCTTGCCATCCCCAGAAGTGAGCCTCACTAGAGGCCTCTCAGACCAGGGAGACCACCCGACTCAGGCAGCATGTTTGTGTCTCATATTTAGACTTCCGTGGTTTACCAGATAACGTGTACAGTTAGAGCATTTCACTTCCAACGTACCAGGGCCCTCAAAAGACAACGGCTAAGGATCATGTTGACCTTTGGAAGGTCCCGCCCCGCCCCGAGTTTGGCCCCAACTCCCTAAATTCACCGACACCTCCCTTCAGTGTCTGCTTCCAAGATCTGCCCCGTAGTCTGCTCTCTGGTAACCTGTCCAACCTTGCCTGATCACACTGATCCTCATGTGTCATGAGGCTCCTGCCAGAACCAGTCAACTTTTACCCAAACTCTCAGAGACCAGTGGCTCCCCCACTGCACCCCACACACCAAGAAGGGAGGGATGAACAGAGAACAAAACAGCCTGTGAGAAGAAGCTGGCTTCATCCTCTAGTGAAGAGGCAATTCTTGCCCTGTTCTGGCTCCAGAGTAAATTTGCTAGAGCAAAATTTAATTAATGAATGAGTCATATCATTACGTATCAGATTTTCAGTGTCAATTGTGAGTGGCTGACAGTGAATCTTAAACAGCAGATGCCCAGGCGACCAGCCACACTGGGTATAGGTCTGCAGTATCAGCGTCACCTGGAAGCCTGTTAATAATGCAGAATCTTGGGTTCCCCCGACCCCAGAGCTGCTGAATTAGTCAGCATTTTAACTAGATCCCCAGTGATTTGGGCATACATTAAACTATGAGCAGCTCTGGTTTATAACAGCCTCTCAACCCTGCCTGGCTGTACATCAGAATCACCTGGAGATCTTTTAAAACCACCCATCTCTGGGGATTGATTTAACTGGTCTGGAGTGGGGTCTTAGCATGGCTATATAGAAAAGTTCTTCCACTGACTCTAATATATAGCAAAGATTGAGCTCCGTCACTGCCGACACGACCTCGGGCCACGTGCTAGCCTCCAAGCCTTACTCTCTTAGACTGGAGTGGGAATAAAAGTGACTGTTTCCTGGGGTTAAAGGGGTTAGAGACTGGAGCATGTCTAATACACAGTAGGAGCACGACAAACGATGGCCTGGAGGAGGAAGACCAAAGATGAACCCAGATGGCAAACTGTTCCTCAAAAGCAGGGAATGTCATGTGTTTTCCCCCAGCTCCTCACCCTCAGGTCCAAGTAGACCCCCAGCCAGCTCAAGTCCCCTTGTCCCAAGGCCTGGGCAGGCCTGAAGTTGGAGGAAAGGTTGGAGACAGCCTTGCCACCATCACTTCTATCAAACTTAGGTTTAGGAAAATGCACAGGAAATTCAGCAGAGACAGGGAACTCATCTTTGCAGTTTCCCTGCACTGATTTTAAACATTCTAGTCTTTGTTTAGAGAATGCAAGAGTCACATTTCTCAGGGACTGCAGAGATGCTGTTTTTACTGGACAGCTTCCCAATTTAGGGAAATGATTTCCTGCTTTGGGGGACTATAGTGGAAATTCTTGAGAATTTGTTTCACATAAATCACTTCTTTAGTAGCAGCAAAGTTTTAGGACCTTTTCTTCCTAGGAAAATCTTATCTGAGCTCTAGCCCAACTGGGCCACTTTTCGGAAGCAGCAGCTTTTTCTGGGGACAGAACAGCTCTGCCAGCTCAGGATGATGCTTGTCCTATTTCTATCCTACCTCCAGATGCTGCCAATTAATGCCAGTCATTGAAGGTGAAGATTGGCTAGATTGGAAGTGACCCAGGAACCAGGTTTCAGAACGCCTGTTTTCTAAAATCGCCCAATCATAGGACTCAGCTGGTCGTATTGATGCCCAGGCCTCACCCCAGACGCACTAGGCTAAGGTTTCCAGGAACGACTCTGGAATTTCTATCTTTGGCAAGTGCCCCCCTCCCCATAACAGCTCCCACTTATTAAGAACTTAATCTGTGTCAGGTATTGTGTTAAATGCTTTTAATTAACTCATTTCATCCCCATAAGAACCTACAAATTAAGGAATTTGCTCAGGATCACACAATGATCAAAGGACGGAGCTGGAATTCCACCTCAGGTATCGTGACTGCAGAGCCCCCAAAATCAAGTAGTGTGGTCTCTGGCAAAAATGGCAATAAGATTCTAAACTAGAACAAGGACTCTTTAAGGACCTGGGAGGGGCCGGGTACTCTCCAGGAGATAGTGCCACTGCAGTTCAAAGGTATGTTCGGTAACCTAGGAGAGCAGCACCCAACAAGGAGGCCAGGGTAACCTTAGAGCTCTCCGGCTTTCCCTGGGCCAGCCATTCAAGGTGGCTGCCCCTACGTGCTCATGGCTTTAGAGAGCTGCCCTGTCCAGAAAGCCTCACCCTCAGGGGAGGCAGAGTATACTGTGTGCCAAGGGTGGAAACAGGCAGAAGTTTCTGGCAGTCAGTTGGCACCCATGACAGCCAGCCTTTCTCCCCATAATATCTAGGGGCCCACCCAGACAGGGAGCAGAGAAAACAGGGCACACCTGCCTCTACTACTATCCCCCAACCCTCCATGCTGCTAAGATCCCCAGAATCTTAGAAGCACGGCGGGTCCAAGAGAGCTTCCTGTTTTCACTTCCCAGTCCCAAAAAGAAAAAGAAAGAAAAAGAGCCTTGCTCACTAAACTCCATGCCTCTGGAAATCAAGCCTACCTTAAGATTACTCTGCCAATGATTTCTCAAATGATCTGCAAGGCCCTGAGTGGCAGAGCCTATTACCAGCTGGCATAGCCCTGAGTGGGGTAATAGGAAAGCCTCGATGTCTGCAGAGTTGAGGAATCTCAAAGGGGGCAAGTCACATTTTAAAAGCTCAAAGGGACAGGCCAGAGCTCAGGTCCCCAGGGGGAGTCTAGCAGGGACCAATCTCACTCCAGGAGGGACTCTAAAAGGACCCCTTAAGTTTCCTCTGTCCCTACTGCTGATGGGGGAGCTTAAGGTCAGAGAGGCCTGAGATTTGGAGGGGTGAGGGTGTTGGCAAGATGACAAGTTGATCTATCTTTACTTCAGAAGCCAGAAAAAACTCCAAGGAAAGCAAAGCCTCCCAAGGATAAGCTTCCACCCATCTTCTCCCGGTTCTGGTTCAGAGACCACCTGCCCCAGATGAAGCAAGCCCTAGAAGGCAGGACAGAGCTAGAGAGGGTCTTGAAGAACACAAGGCCCCACCAACTGGTTTGGGGCTTTGAGGCCTAGTATGAAGTACTCACATCCAGAAGTGTGGCTGGCTGCAACAGAGTCCTCAGATCCGGAAACTCCCTTCACCCAGCCCTAGAGATGACTTCTGGGCAGGGCAGGGCAGACTCAGGGGGTGAGGCTTAGGCATTTAAAGGGCCCTTGCAGCTGGTTCTCATTTGTTTGGTTTTGTTTTTTTCTCCTCTGGGCTGCTTCTGCTGCAGCTGAAGGCACTGCAGCTCACTCAGTGCAGGAATTCCCACCTCAGAGCCAGCTGGCAGCACTGGCATGAGACTGGGGAGGGTCCTCGGCCCGAGGTAGGGGGCAGGTGCTGACCGAGTTCACTTCTACCCCACCTGGCTTTAACTTCCCACTCTGGGTGCATACAATTTTGCCTCTCCACAGCTGTTTCGGTTCCAGCTGCAGTCCCTCCTCTAAGAGAAGATAACTTGGTATTTTTTATTTTAGATTCAGAAAATTTAGCCCAGGTCTCCAAAGAGATGTTCAATAGCAAACATAAACACATACACGTATGTCCTCTTTCTGGCAAGGTGCTTGGAGTGTCTCTCCTCTTCCCAAGTTTCCCAGCGGCCTGGGTTAGGGAAGAAGGGCCAAGGCCCCAGCAGGTAGACTCTGCACCCTAAGGGCAGCAGCGCTCAGTATTTCCGCTGTCGGGGGAAGAGACTACTCCCTGAGGACCGGAGCGGGGGGCTGGTGGGGCTGGCATCCTCTGAGTCCAGGCTGAAGAGGTCCCTGCCAGTAAGAAGGATCTGCTCCTCCAGCTTCTTGTGTCGCTTCATGTCTGAGAGGACCTTGTCCAGGCGCGCTTCCCGTTTCTGGCTCCGGGCTGAGCTTCCTGGAGAAGGGGAATGAGAGAAATGTGGAAGCGAGTGAGGCAGTGTGCACCAGACCTACCTGGATCCTACTAATCACTTGGGGAGCTCACTGAACAGAGATTTCCAGGCCTGTCCTGGAGGTTCTGAGGTTTAGGGATGGGGCCTCAGATGGGGTGGGCAGTGAACATCTGAATTATGAGAAGGGGCTAGAAATACGAAGACTGGGGAGGAGCATCCCAGGTAGGGGATGAGCAAGTGCAAAAGCCCCAGGGCAAGAACAGGGAGGTCTGTTCAGTGAGAAATGTAGAGCTGGGGGAGACAGGAAAGATAAGGCCAAAGATATGACCTACAGGTCACAATAAGGGGTTTGGATCTTTTAGTTTACATGGAAGCCCTGGGGGGAGGGCGGGGTTGGATTCCCAATTGACACATTCATATACCACCCCACCCCCGCCCCCCAGAAATGGAATCCTTTGGAGAATTTAAAACAGAGAAGTGACGCAATTTATGTTTTGAAACATAAACCCGTCTCTGGCTGCTGAGGCTGGCGACAGGAAGACCAGTTAGGAGCTACCACAACTATCTAGGCAAGAGAGATGGTGGCTTGGATAAGGGTGCAGGCAGAGCTAACAAGACTTGCTGCTGGCTTGAATGCTAGGGTAAAAGAAAGAGAAATCAACACTGGCTCCTAGGAGGCACTTCTCTGGTGGCACAGTGGTTAAGAATCTGCCTGCCAATGCAGGGGACATGGGTTCGAGCCCTGGTCCGGGAAGATCCCACATGCTGCGGAGCAATTAAGCCCGTGTGCCACAGTGTGCCACAACTACTGAGCGTATGCTCTACAGCCCGCGTGCCACAACTACTGAAGCCCGAGTGCCTAGAGCCCGTGCTCTGCAACAAGAGAAGCCACCGCAATGAGAAGCCCGCACACCGCAACAGAGTAGCCCCCGCTCGCCGCAACTAGAGAAAGCCCGTGCGCAGCAACAAAGACACAAAGCAGCCAAAAATAAATAAATAAATAAATTTATTAAAAAAAACAAGCAAACAAAAAGAGAATGGCTCCGAGGGTAAATTCTAGGAATGCACATGGGATGGGAAACTGGGTCGGATTAGGAGATGTACACAGTAGTGCAGGGATGTGGATCTAGATAATAATGATAACGACTTGGCCTTCTGGTGGGCACTGAGATCAAAGGAATGGGAAGCATGATGGAATTATCTGCGGAAGATAGGGGACCACCAAAGCTGGAAGGATGGCACCACTGGGGGCATGCTCTCTCCTGAAACAAGTTCTGTAGATATCAAGGCACCAAGCAAAGGCATCTTTTAGGGAGTCACTTTCTGAGTAAGTGGGAGCAGAGGCCCTTCACCACCACCCCAATTCTCCCCTCTTGTCTGTACCTGGGGTGCGTCTCCGGTCAATCAGGGAGTCCTTTGGTGTCATTGGCTCATCATCAAAGTCAAATTCTGTGGGCATGTGCGGTCTGGGACAGGGGGATAGAGAATGAAAGGTGAGGGTGGTCCCCCCCAAACACCCCCACTTCTCCACAGCCTGCGGGCTCTTCCTCTCCGGCTCTCTTCCCTCCCTCCACTTCCCACGCTCCTGGGTCCCACCTCCCCTCCCTGCTTCCTCCCGGCATCAGGGGAGCAGCCTCAAGGACAAGGTGTAAGGGTGTGCCCTCACTTTTCCTCTTCCTCCTCTTTGGTCTCTGGCTCCTCATCGGATCTCTCCTCTTCACTCTGGGCCTCAGGTGTGGGTGGCCGGCGGGGCAGGATCTCAGCCTGTAGCTCCAGGGTGCCGTGGGCAGCCAGCAGTTCATAGAGCCTTTGGATTTCCGAGGGGGGTGGCATCCAGGACTGCCCATCCGCGGGCAGCTCCACCTCTTCATCGCTGCAGGGCACGCACCAGTCCTCGGATTCTCCCTTGGCATGCTCTTCCCCCTCAGTGCTGGGGGCTTCTCCCTGCACCTCCTCGGCCCCGGACCCCTCATGCTCAGCCTCCTCCCGGCCTCCTTCCCCCTCTTCCTCGGCTTGATCGGCCGAAGCAGAGGGGCCTCCGGTATCCTCCACGGCCAGAGCCTGGAGGCCGGAGGTCACTTCCCCTTCTTCAGACAGAGGCGCCGCCGTGGTGGCTGCAATGTCTCCATGGCCCCGGACAAGGGACATATGTCACTAGGGAAGGGGCCCTGCGATGATAGGAGATGCAGGAGTACTGAACTGGGGATCCCCCAACCCCAAGGGTTGGGCTCCCCAGGGGTTTAGGGAATGTCTCTCTAACCAATCAGGCTCCAACAGCAGTCCCTGCGAATAGACCGCCTGTTCCCAAGAGGGGGCGCTCCGTCCCCTCCAAGGACCCCGCCCCCACGGATCGAGATCCGGTACTCCGGTGTTCCCAGGGACCGGCAGAAACCACTTTCCAGGCGGGAGAGGGGGCGGACCCGCTCTTCTCGCCTTGCTACCTCCCCTCTCTACACCTGGATCCGGCACCCTCTCCCCAAACCTCGAAGTTTCGCCACCTCAGCTGCCAAACGCACCTAGAAGCTAAGACCCGCCTCCCGGGCTGCGCACGGTCACAGTACGCAGGCGCACAGAGATGGCGCGGGAGGCTCAGTTTTAGTCAGAGCTACTTGGAAGAGGAAAGCAAGGGAAGGCTTGCACATGCGCAGATAGGCGCTCCGGAATGATAGGCTTCGGCCCGTAGTAAAGATGGCCACCGGGGCGGCGCATGCGCAAACCACCCAATAGGTTCTGCCCGAAAGGAGGCAGTACCTCGGGCCCCAGCGGCGCACGCACGTACGGACCCACTGAGGCTGGAGGCGAGTCTCATGCAGTCTCCGTTTATTGGTGTTTCAGACTCATGCAGCATCCGGCATACAAAAAGGGAGAATCTGTTTGGCGTATCCTTTTGTTTTGTTTTGCTTTTAGACTTTTAGGTTTTTT